CTAACACTGAAAACGTGCCTATTCTGCTGTTAGTAGCTCCTATGCTTTTACCCTAAAAAGAAAAAAATACAATACATGTGCTCAAGAAAGCATATACAAAGACATTCGCTTTAACATTTAAAAAATACGGCTGGGCACGGTGGCTCAAGCCTGTAATTCCAGCACTTTGGGAAGCCGAGGTGAGAAGATTGCCTGAGCCCAGGCGTTTGAGACCAGCCCGGGCAACTTGATGAGACCTCGTCTCTACAATAAATCAAGAAAATTAGCTGGGTGTGGTGATGAATACCTGTAGTTCTAGCTACTTGGAAGATTGAGGCGGAAGGATCGCCTGAGTCCAGGAGGTCGAAGCTGCAGTGGCTGTGAGCGTGCCACTGTACTCCTCAACCTGGGCAGTGGAAAGAGACTCCAACTCAAAAACAAAAAACCAAAAACTAGCAAATAAATGTTAGGTTGCTACTTAAGTGCTCACCGAAATCATAGCCTATTAAGTAGCAGTTGAAATTTAACAAATTAGAGATGCTTAAATCAATATGGCTCAATTTCAAAAGTACTGTTGGATGAAAAAAGCAATATGCAGACTAATTTGTAGAATATGATCTCATTTGTAAGAAACACAAACAAATATGATTGAGTTCCAGGTACATACATGTCTTTGTATTTATATTTGTTTTAAACAAATGACTGCATGGGAACATATTTTAAAACATCTAGAAGGACCCAGGCGCAGTGGCTTAGCCTGTAATCCCAGCACTTTGGGAGGTTGAGACAAGATGATTGCCTGAGCCTGGGGGTTTGAGACCAGCCTGGGCAACTTGATGAGACCTCATCTCTACAATAAATCACAAAAAAACCTACCTGGGCATGGTGGCGTGTGTCTGTAGTTCCAGTTATTGGAAGGCTGAGGTGGAAGGATCGTCTAAGCCCAGCAGGTTGAGGTTGCACTCCAGCTTACTGTTTTAATCTGCAGTGATTTTTTTTAAAAGGAGAAAATGAATGCAACGGGTCAGAAGATAAAATTGCAACACATTTAGTTATAGATCGAATTGGCTTTTATTCGAGACTCATGAATCGAGGCAGCTTCCCGTCTATAAAATGGAATGAGAGTTCCCATTGGGCAATGGCGAAACAATAGGTTTTGTAAGGTGGGAACAGGGAACCAGAACATTAGGGTAAGAGCCCATTGGTTAAAGTCAGTTTCCTTTGTTCTTTTTGGTAAGGGTTAAAGCTTATGATGCTGACTTGGGCAGACTGGAATCTCCTGTTTTCAGTAAAAACTCATCTGTCTGGGGATCTATCTGCTTCCATAAAGTTTCAGTCTGATAATGTGGTGCTTAGCACGAGTGACTCTTGGTTTGGTCTGGTCTGTTGGAGGCTAGTGCAGGAGCTCAGTCCAGAACAACTACGTCCCCAAAGTTTAACAAATATTTGTGTAACAACAGTAATAATACAAGGGGAAATGGCCAGGGCAGACACCACACGTAGTGTTTTATTGCTGCAGAGTGAGCGTTTGTTTGCAGATAGAGACACAGGCAGGCAACGTGCTGGGAGTGGTCAGTTATTTATTGTGCCTGATGTTTGAGCAGGTGCCTGGGTACAGCCTCCAATGGGTGTAAAGGTGAGTTGGGGCTGCAGCCAGAAGCCGCCATAGCATTCTTTAATTCATTAAGTCTTTCCTGAGCATTTATGACAACTCTATAAAAAAGAGTAACAGTTGGAAAATTTTAAAACTGCTTTTTGCTTTTGCCCCACCTGGTCTGAGAAATCTATCAGAATGAAACAAAAGCAGGGCTTATTGTGGAAGAAATGCAATGAGGGAAAACAGGGAAATGATTTTGAGAAGAAAAAAAAAAGCCTTGCAAGGCAGGCTTCTGTTTTGAAAGGTTTCTCTAGATTCTAGCATCTAGTCCTGTTCATTTTCATTAGATTCAGCTACTGTAATAAATACCAAGATAAACGTTTATTTCTTTCACATAAGAGGCAGGAAATAAGCAGTTCAGACGACACTATGATCTGTGCCTCTGGAGCCCTCGACCCCTGCAATTTTGCTGCTCTACACCCTGCATGCGTGGCTTCCATTTTCCTGCTGGCTGCTGTGGCTCCCATCATCACATCCTCACACCCACCTGGCAGCCAGCAGGAAGTGAGAAAGGAAAAGCGGAGTGCAGCCCCTTTGTTTTGCAGGTTCAGTCAGAGTTGCACTTTCCTTTGTTTCTTGTCTTATAAACCGGAACTCCTCTAAACTAGAAGGGCCGCCGGGGAATGTTGTCTTTATCTGGGTGGCCATGTGGTCAGCTAAAACTTGAGGCTTCCATCCCTGAAGGGCAAGGGGAAGAAGGGACCTTGGGGACACTTGGCAAGCTCCTGGCACACTCTTCAGCATTTCAGCAACCTGGTCTGGGGAGCAGGTGTCATCCACTCACCTGGCTCTCATTTCTGGCCACCTGGAGGGCACGAGGGAGATGACAGAAGGAAGGCAATGTCAGCAGGTGTCAGTCCTGTTGCCCTCCCACTCTGGGCATGGCTGAGGGGCAGGTGTGGTCGCTGATGAAAGCAACGTGATTGGAAGCTGGTAGCACAGTACGGCCAGGCAAGGAGGCCCCGAGGCTCAGCTGTCCCAAATGGACCTGGTTTCCTGCAATGGTGTGGGAAGAGCCCAGGACAACTGAGAATCTGCTAGGAGGTGTCAGAGGAGCCCCCATAACAGGGCAGGGTGGGTCTAATGCAAGGTTATGGTGTAGATTCCCAGGTAGGGTTGCTAGATTTAGCAAATAAATACACAGGATCCCGGTTCAACTTGAATTGTAGATAAACATGAAATAACTTTTTAGTGTAAGCTTGTCCTATGTCTTATTTGTCGTTTAACTGAAATCCAAATTTAACTGGTAGTTCCGTATTTTATCTGGAAACTCTACAAGGTTAGAAGGCCTAGCCAGATCTCCAAGAGGTCTGAAGCCTCAGTGGGAGACAATGCAAGCTCAAGGCAGACATGGGCCCCTCCAGGCTTAGTCAGATACCCGGGGATACCAGGAGCCACGGGGGCCTACAGAAGCCACAAGATCTGACTCCTCTTTGTCTCCAGGACTGTGCAGGGTAACCTTCACTTTCTTGCTTCTCTAGACCAGATGCCAACTCTTTTTTTTTTTTTAACTGGAGTCTCACTCAGTCACCCAGACTGGAGTGCAGTGGCACGCTCCCGGCCACCGCAGCTTTGACCTGCTGGGCTCTGGCAATCCTTCTGCCTCAGCCTTCCAAGTAGCTGGAATTACAGGCATGCACTACCATGCCCAGCTAATTTTTCATTTATTGTAGAGACGAGGTCTCACTGCGTTGCCTGGGTGGGTCTTGAACCCCCAGGTTCAGGCAATCCACTCGCCTCAGCCTCCCAAAGTGCTGGGATTACAGGCTGAGCCATCGAACCTGGCCCAGATGCCAACTCTTTAGACAGGAACAGAAAAGGGAATCTTGGGTCTATTTTTCCCCCAGAGACTGAGTATTACCCAAGGGCTATTCAAAGTATCCCTTAGAACTATATTTTAACCTGGGTAGGATGAAGGTTCATTTTTACCACCAAGCTACAGGTGAGGCTTGGGAACACCTGGTTAGATACAACCCAAATCAACACTGTTCACTTCCTATGCTCACCTGAACACACGGAGTGAGTTTGGTGACCCAGCTGTCCTCTCCTGCCTCAAATTTCCCAGGGCTGAAGCCCCATGGAGAGCCCCAGAGAGGGGGGCTCTGCTTTCTCTGTCCTCCCTGTGGATCACAGTCTCCTGCTTCTGAGTGACCTGTCTTTCCTGCCTGAACAGGTTGTGTAACACAACCAGGGCAGGTATTCAACCTTTGTCGTATTCCCCACCTTTGGTGTTTATGGAAGCCTGGAGCCTCATAAAGTCCAAAGTCTGCAACAATAATAAAAGGGCCCAGTCAACTTGGCTTGGGCAAACGACCACAGCCCAGCACTGGAAGCTCTCAGCTGCTGATGGGGCGTTGGGTTCTGGGGAGAGGAGAGCCTCAGCTGGCCCTGTGGGGCCCAGCCATGAGTCCTAGCTTCTCAGGCCCTTCTCTTCCCTGCTCAGGCCTCCGTTCTATCACATTTCCTGTGCTTTTTGAACCCAGGATTCTGGGTGGTGCCAACTCTGGCTGATGAGCCACTCCAGGCCCTGCATGCTCAGGGGCAGTGCAGTCATTGCAGAGCAGTGTAGAAAGAAATATGTGTTTCCACAGAAAGTTATGCATGCTACATACTGCACAGTCTCCACGTGGTCTGATTCCAACCTCACACCTTCTTTTTTACAGCTCTTTGTAATTGTCTTGTCCAGTAGAGGTTCAACGACCCCTCCACACCCCTGGTGGAAAGATTCCTGGCTCCACTCACATATTCCTTCCATACTCCTCATCTAGAGATGGGTCTTTAATTTGAGCCCTTTTTGAACCGGTATGACACCTGTCTGGTTCCTCAAGTGGTTAACAAGCAGAGCAAAATCTTTAACACTTGTTGATATTTGTATTGGAATGAAAATCAGGCTTTTTCCTGGAAAATTTTCTTTTAATAGAGGTGACCGAGTTAAAATCCCCTTTCTACCATTTATTGACTTTGTGCCTTTGGGAGAATGCTTAATCTCTCTGTGATAAACCTCAAGTTGCTCAGAAAAGGAGGCTGATGGGGCTAGAACAAGAACACGCAGACAGGAACCTCCGAAGCCTTTCAGAACCTCGTAAAGCTTTCTGGAACCCTGGACCCGGTTCCTCCCCGCGGCCCTGCCCCACGCAAAGCCCCGCCCCCGAGGCCCCGCCCCCGAGGCCCCGCCCCCGGCTCGTCTCCGGCTACAAATTCCCCGCCGCGGGGCCGCTCTGGGTCCACTCGGAGGCGCATCCGAGCGGCGCCGTTGCGCCGCGCACTCCCCATTGGCTGAGGGCAGCGCGGAGGCGGGCGCGGACCTGTGATTGGCTTTCAGGGCCGGTGACGCTGCGGCCCTAGCGGCGGCCTGGACGGTGTCATGGAGGCCGCAGCGGTAGGAGTGACCCGGGCGGCCTCGCGGCGGCGGGAACGACAGCGGCAGGGGCTGGGGACCCCGGAAGAGCAGGAGCGGCGGCCGAAGCGGCAGTGGCCGGGGAGGAGGTGACCCCCCATGTCGCGGACGCGGGTCGAGAGTCGGTGGCTCCTGGGCTCGGGATTCCCCGCACCGACGCGCAGAGGGGCGGGCGGGTCCGGGCCCGGCGCCTGTGCTCCCTCCGTGCAGAGCGCCGGGAGAGCGGCTGGCGCCTCCCCTCCGCCACCGGTCCGCAGTGGGGGTCCCGATCGCCCTGTCAGCCCCTCCCCATTGCCAGGCAGCTAGCCCTTGGTCCCAAAACAGACTGCCCGAGCGCAGCAGCGGAACCGAACCCCAGACCCTATGACTGATGGTCAGACAGGGTCCCCTTCCCTCATCTCAGAAATGGGGTGCAAACCCGCGTGGCAGTGGGGCTCAGCGGGAACTGAGAGGGCCCGGCCGGGATGCGAGAGCCTTGGCCAGAATACCTGCCTCCCATGTGAAAGATCCCGGCGTGGCTTTTGCCGTTGCTGAGTAGATGCCCGCGGGAGGCAGGGGTAGCTATCCGCAGGGGGTGACATTTGAACTGAGTCTCTGGGGAGGAGGGTATCCAGTTCCAGAGACCAGAATGGGCAATGGCACAGAGGCAGAAAGGAATGGACACGCCCTGCTGGGCTGGGGCTTCCTTCCTTTTGGGGGCATTTACCCATGCAGTAAACCCCTGGTCAGTAGGATACTGAGGGCAAGTTAGGAGCACACGTGTGGCTTCTGGAAACAGCAGCCCTAGCTCTGTTTGGAAACTCAAAGCGGTGAGATGATGGGTGTTTCAGACTGAATGATGGTGGGATGGCAGCTGGCTGGTGGGAAAGATGGACTGGAGCAATATGGAGATGGCTCTTTCCTGCTTAGTGGAGGAATAACAGGTGATGCAGGTGATCTGGTGTAGACAGAAGATTGTTCTAAGAAGACCCAGAGGGGACAACTAAAGGATAATAAATTCAGGGAGGGGCTTGGGAGGAGGAGGAGGGTGGAAAGGAGCAGTTTCTGGGGTATCTCCACTTGGGTCTGCCCCTATTTCTCCTTCCCTCCACAGTACTCAGGATCCCTCAATTTCATTCTGGAGGTCCAGGGTCAGTGTTCAGGGGTGGCAGATCCAACAGAGGGCACTTTGCAACAGGCCTCTGAATGGCAGTGGAGTATTGGCAGATGATGCCCCAGTGAACACAGAAGTACCTTAGGTGTTGGTAGATGTCAAGGATCTCAGCTTTGGCACCCATGGCCCGTTAATGGCCGCTGCAGTGACTTCTCACTCACTGCCCTTAGTTTTTTTTGAAGTCTCACTCTTGCCTGCTCATGGCCACTGCAGCTTCACCCGGCTGGGCTCAGGCAATCCTTCTGCCTCAGTCTTCCAAGTAGCTGGAACTACAGTTGAGCGCCACCATACCTGGCTAATTTTTTGATTTATTGTCGAGAGAAGGTCTTGCCAAGTTGCCCAGACTGGACTTGAACCCCTGGGCTCAGGCAGTCCTCTCATTTCTGCCTTCCAAAGTGCTGGGATTACAGGCATGAGACACCATGCCCATCATCACTGCTCTTAATATGGCAGTAATGTTTTATAAAATGAAAGCTGTTTCACTGAGATTTATTCAGCGCTTTGCAACTTGATGTGGTGAAGGAATTCCTTATTCCTGTAACATCATCCCTGAATAAGCTGAGGAATTAGGGAGGATTCTGTGGAGTCAGGGAAGTGTCGCCTACAGGGAAAGCTTGACCTCTGCTCTCTCAGGACCTTACACTTTCTGGTACTTTGAGTATTCCTTGCCTCTTGGCCATAGCAAAGCCTGAGGACCCTGTGAAGTATACATCTTTGGTCTTTAGAGTGAGATATTTGGGTGGGTGTGTTAGAGGGTCAGGTGTCTATTCTTAGGAGCAGTGGTTGACACATGTGTCCAAGCAGAAGCCAAGCCCTGGCTGCTCAAACAGGAGACTGCAGGACGGCCAAGGCTCACTCACTTCTTTGGTTTATATGTGTTATGTTTATATATATATATATATTTTTTTTTTTTTTTTTTT